GGAGGTTGGACTGTTTTTCAGAGACGTTTGGATGGCTCCGTTGACTTCTATCTTGGATGGGAATCCTACAAAAGAGGGTTTGGAAATCTGAGCGGCGAGTTCTGGCTCGGAAACGACAATCTTCATCGTTTAACAGCCGTTGATGATGTCATCTTGAGAGTTGACTTGGAAGACTTTGATGGGAACGTAACCTACGCTGCGTACACGACTTTTAAGGTAGCGAACGAGGCGGACAAGTACCAGCTTTTAATTGAAGGATACAAGGGCACGGCTGGTGACTCTATGACATTTCAAAGGTAAGAAAGATGTACATTTTTGATTGCCAAGCGAAAAAGTACAATTTCACATTTGTAGGATACGGTAAGACAGCAGGTGACATCACACTCTTACATAAATGCATCAACAAAAGGGGTCTGCGTTTCTACCGAATTTTAAGAGGGTGTTATTATTAATGCTTATCTGGATGCTGATTGATTTTGGTACAAGTCTGTAGAAATTGAATTTTGGGAATCTCTGAGTCTAGAGAAAAAGTGCTAATTGCAAGGAGAGCGGTTATTTTAGGGAGACACCTATCTCTTTGGTCAAATACTATTCCGAGGTTGACTTTGTCCTCATTTCAATCGAACACTAGCTTAAGAGTGAATTGAAATGGGAAAATAACGGCTTGAAAGGAAGGAACTCAAATCTGCGCGCACTATTCATATTTATATTTGCTTTTACCCTGCTAGAGTCACCTCGTTTTTGTACCGTTATTTGCAATTTCATATCAAACGTCTGCTCATGGAATAACAGTAGACTATTATGGGAAACCCTAATTAGTTAACGGACCATATTTGGTTTTTTTTCAAGAGACATGAATTTTACAACGAAGGATGAAGACAATGATGTTCATGATCAATGGAACTGTGCCATCGAATACAAAGGAGCTTGGTGGTACAAAGGTTGTCACAGTTCTAATCTGAATGGATTGTACCATAATGGCCCACATAATTCCTTTGCTGACGGAGTCAACTGGTTCGACTTTCGAGGCTATCGTTACTCATTAAAACGCACCGAGATGAAAATTAAGGCTCGAATATAATTCGCTGCAATAGAGGTTCAGTTTTTAACCAAAACTACATTCTCTCAGTACTAGAGTCAGACACTTTGCCCGATAAAAGATTACATAAATAAATAGATAAGGAACAGTTTCACTCTAAGTAATGCTTCTAGCCACACTTTTTAGATCCACTCGATGGTGGCTTGAGTTTGCCTTCCTTCTAGACGTAAACTACTGTAGCGAGAAACCGAACTGATTTTTGGATTGAAATGCAGATAGGTTTGCCGTGAAGGTTGTAATATTGCACGATCGAGGTTTACAAGCCTTGAATAAATTCTCTACTATCGATGTCTGCACATATGATTAGCATCGGTTCAAAATCTTATCAGTTGCACAAGACCTAGTGAGTTATGTTAATAATTGCAATTTTTCTGCGACCATGTTTTAGCCGCCTGATAAACTGAACAGAAGATGTTCTAGCCTTGTACTTGGAATTGTGTTTTCATTTTAAATATCTTCGGAATTATAATTCAATTTAGGTTTCATGGTAGGAGCTTCACTATGAATAGTCTCAGGAGGAAGATTAGTCTCAGAAGGAGGCGGCGTGGCCGAGTGGTTAGGATGCTGGACTTGTAATCCGGTGTCCCGGGTTCAAGTCCTCCACCCTGCCACTCACTGGATTTGTTCTCAGATGCCCCTAGTTCAACTCCTCGGCTGCGCTCTGTAAATAGCCCACTGGTCTGCCTCCTGCCAGTGGGGATTTTTAAGCTCTTAGTTAGTCTACATTGTGGCTGAAAAGCCCCTAAGGGGGAGCTTCAATTAACGTATATTATTATTATAGTCTGTTTTCAACGCAATGGTAATTATTATAAAATTAGATGGTGGAACTAACAGGTGTGAATAAATGTTTTGATGCTTGGGAATTCAAACGGAAAATTTCATTATACATTTTTATCAGAATTTTCTGGATTGGACAAAGAATGAAACATGCGGCAAAAAATGACTTGGCAAGCTATCGTAGATTATGCTCACCTACCGAGCGTCAATAATACATAATTCATTGTTAAGTTTTTTGCCTAATCTTGGTTCCAGTTCCCTCCGGCCTTAGTTATATATATACAGAGCTGTTAAATTTCAACGGTTACTTTTGAAAATGTATGTGGAGTACATACGAAACGTCAAGTCATAATCAAAATGTGCAAGTTCAATATGTTTATCACTATTGTTTGTGTTTTATTTTTGATCAAATTACGATGGCCCAAGACAAAAAAAGCATTTACGATATAATTTAAACACCTTAGTTGTTTCATTAGATTTTTTTTGAGACGGCTGTAAGCTAATACCACTCAATGAAAATAGACCTGTACCTTTTCTAAACCCCTTAAAACTGACAATGTAGCTATAGATCCTCTCGTCAACACAGTTGTTTACAGTATGATTAGGCCTATTTCTGAGCATGATTGAGAGGCCACAAACTTTGCTAAAGCAGTAGAGGGGAAAATGCTAGATGAAAGGGTATTCTGAAACTGTTTGCGAGTTTGAGTGCTTCAGAGAAATCCGATGTAACTCTTACAACTTTAAAACAGCAAAAAAAGAATGGGGAAAGTTTCAAGTGCCAGTTGAGCTACTCTGATCGATTTTTTAAGGGATTAATAACTTCACCGAAGATGAAGACATTGTTTGCCGAGGAGCAAAGGTAAATAAAATTCCTGTAAGGTAAAGTACATCCCACTAGAGAGTGCTTCATTTCTTTTTAAGAGTCAAGACATAAATGAAAAACCTGCACGAGTTTATCCTCGAGCCTCAACGAAAAAATGTAGAAAGGAAACAGAGCAAATACAAGAGAATAAGCCTATTCGAGACCTTGGATACCTAAGGCTGTAAACGTAAACAAGAGTTGTACAGATAAATTAATTATAATTGCAATGAAAGATGAAAAACGTAGACAAAAAGTGACATCTAGGCCTGTAAAAGTTTTAAAACACCTCTCTGATTATCTAGGAATTATTCAAAATGCTTCTCTCGTGCGTACTAGTACTCTCACTGACGATAACACTCGTGCAGTCGGTTATATTAAAAATATTTTCGTGAAAACAGCAAACATTTTTACGCTGGTGTTTCCAAAGTTAATCCAAAATAATCAGTCAATGAAAGAAAGGAATCCTAGATGACACCCGAGAATGGAAACGGGTCCCCGTTGTTTGAATTGGCGTCAGACGTACAAACACCGTCAGATACACAAACACCTCTTCGTGTTTTCTTCAAACAGTCTTGCCCATCAACAAAGTATGAGATAGGAGTATAAAATCAATAAAGCTATAAGTTCATCCCTGTTTAGGGCAACGAAAACTGCATGTCACTCTCGCTGGAAGTCATCAAGGCTGACCGTACCAATAAATATATCTTATTAACCAAGTGCGAGGGCCGTATTGGGAGAACATCGGTCCGAGGTCTTGACAGTACGGACCGAGCGCAGCGAGGTCCGTACAAAAAAGACCGAGGGCCGATATTCTTCCAGTACGGTCCCGAGCAAGCTTGGTTAATAAGAGATTTATTATACGACTGAAGTTCAAAGGGACACAAGTGCGGTATCATTCGGGACCATTCGGGACAGTGCCCGGTCCAATACTGAGAGAATATTGACCGGCAATAGAGCATTTTGATTGGTTGATTTTAGTTATTGGCCCTCTGACTGCCCGAGTCGTGTAATAAATTTTA